TGGAACATTTGGAAAACCCAGCAAACTACGAAGAAAATTAAAATGGGGCCAATCTACCCCTTTGCCCCTCGCAGCCCTAAGGGCTAACTGCCGTTAACATCTTATTTAATGTCTTTTGGCTTTTGTGTAGGCTTAGACACAGTTTTGCACAGTGGAGATCAGACTTCATGGGGATTTTTTTCTTTAAAAAATTACAATCGTCAAAAGAGTAGATCCCTCTGGGGCGGGAGTTTTGACTGGGAGATGGCCAAGAGAACTTTCTAGAAGGTGGCAAGCTTTCGTGTATTGATCTGGGTGGTAGTTACAGAGGGACCTACACAAATATACACGTAATAAGTGTTTATTTTACTTTATGTAAATAATAGCTAAAAACACAAAAACCTGTTGCTGTTGAGTCAGTTCCAACTCACGGTGACCCCACGTGTCAGACTACTGCTGCTCCATTGGGCTGTCAGTGGCTGTGAGCTTTCAGAAGTAGGTCACCAGACCTTTCTTCCAAGGTGCCTCTGGATGGGTTTGAATCACCAACCTTTTGGGTGGTAGCCGGGTGCTTAACCGACACACCGCCCAGGAACTTCGAGTAACATCAAACATTATAATGCTAATAGAGGTTCCTTGCAAAGACTTCAACTGCAAGTATACAAACACCCTTTCTCCCCAGCTTCTCCTTCCTCGACTTCCCAGCATAACCACAGTGAACAGATAATGTCTTGTGGCCCCAGCACTAAACAAGGTTCCCGGTGTCAGTCCACAGGGACAGCAGACATCGTGCAGGGGCCCCACAATGAGGGCCGTGTTCTGCACCCCCATTGGTGGGTTCCTTCTCTGGCCCTGGGCTGCAGGGAAAGGGGCTGGAGTCAGGTTCTTGCTTGGCCCACCTTCTTCCCTTTCAGCTTCACCTCTCGCCATCTCTGGCCTTGGCTTCCACCAAGGAACAGTGAACGGCCCAGCCAGGCTGCGCTCACTGGGAAGGAATGGAAACATGTCTCTTAAGTTTCACAGAAATCATTTTGAGGGGCCTGCGTCTGGCCAATGGTGCTTAAGTTCCTGTGGTCCCAGACTTGGCTGCCAGGTTGATTTGGGGTGGAGAGTGGCCAGTGTTCCTCCCTTTAGCCTCTCGGGCCCCTTCACTGTGTGTTTTCTTGAATACTCGGACAGGTTATGAGCCCCTGGGGTTCCGGGCTGTGGCAGGTAATGCTTTGGCTAAGAATTCGGAGTCCTGTTAACTTGGAACCTTCTCCCGTTTTACTGGCTGCCCTTTAAATGGTTACAGTGTGTGCAGCACTGAGCCAGTTTGTGAAAGCCAAAGGGTTCCCAGTCTGCGAGCCTCAGTCTTCCAGAGGAAAACAGCTTCTTTGGGCCTCACTGGAAACAGTGAAGGACAGGCAGCTGGGGGGCCACCTCAGAGGCTGGTTGCTTCTTATGGCCCCCAGGGACAGGGACAAGGGACAGGGAAAGAGAATGGACTTGGCTGTCTCAGATCTGGGTTGGATCCTGACTCTTTCTCCTCCTCTCTATGATCTTGGGCAAAATTAGCCTCAGTTTCTTTGTCTGTAAAATGGGCTATTCCTTCTTAGCCCTTAGGAATGTGGGGTGGACTACGGGTGTCCCCCCTAGGACAATGTGAGTCGAGAGCCTGTAGCACAGTAGGTGGCTGGAAACTATTATTATTAGGGTGACAATACTGGATTCAGAATAAGACAGGGGGCAGGATTTGCTCCCCAAATCTTGGTAGGCAAGAGATCAAGGTCAGAGAAGAATTAGTGAGGACTGGGAAAAGGAAGGTGTCTTCAGACAGGGGGAGACTTGAGCTTTCTTCACAGGATAAGCACAAAGAAATAATTCATAGTAACAACAGCACCAACACCTTCCAGTTTTCCTGAGACCTTCTAGCTCCATTATCATCTTGTACTCCACAGTAGTCCTTTGAGGGAGGTGGGATTGCAACTAGAAGCCTCATTTACAGGTGGGGAAACTGAAGCATATCATGCAATAGAGTTCAGCTCATTGTTTCCCAGAGGTTGGGATGTGGATCACAATTGGGAGAGAAGGTATGCCACAGACAGGGACTGAGTAACAGTGAGCCATGTGATGAGGCAGTCAGTCCCCTTTGAGTTCTCTGATCTTCTGACGATCCAAGTAGAAAGAGTCCATTTGGTGATAGGCTGTCTTTAACACCTTTCTACTGGCTGGTAATCTCACTTTGGAAGAAAGAGAAGAGCAATGTCCTTAGAATTTAATGATTGTATTTGTTTTCATTGAAAACACAGCTTTTAAAAATAGAAATTTCATTGTTGTTGTTGCTAAATGCCATCGAATTGGGTCTGACTCCTAGGGACCCTAAGTACAACAGAATGACACGTTGCCTGGTCCAGAGCCATCCTCACAATCATTGCTGTGCTTCGCCTCATTGCTGCAGCCACTGTGTCAACCCATCTTGTGGAGGGTCTTGCTCTTTTTCACTGACCCTCGACTTTACCAATATGATGTCCTTCTCCAGGTGCTAGCCTCTACTGATAACATGTCCAAAATACATGAGACGAAGTCTTGTCATCCTTGCTTCTAAGGAGCATTGTGGCTGTATTTCTTCCAGACAGATTTGTTCATTTTTCTGGCAGGCCATGGTATATTCAATATTCTTTGCCAACACCGTAATTCAAAGGCATAAATTCTTCTTCGCTCTTCCTTATTCATTGTCCAGCTTTTGCACACATAGGAGGCAATTGAAAAGACCACGCATGGCGTAGGTCAGGTGCAGCTTAGTCCCCAAAGTGGTATCTTTGTTTTTTAACACTTTAAAGAGGTCTCTTGCCTATTATGCTGAGTGAAATAAGTCAATCACAGAAGGACAAATATTATATTAGTTCATTATTTTAAAAAGTCAAGGAAAGGTTTATATATGGAAGAAAACTTTCTTTGTTGGTTACCAGGGGGAGGAGGTGCAGGGGGAACAGTACAAAAACAAAAATGAAAGAGGTCTTTTGCAGCAGATTTGCCCAATGCAATACATCATGTGACTACTGTTTCTGTGGGTGTTGACTGTGGATCCAAGTAAAAGGAGATCCTTGACAACTTTGATCTTTTCTCCATTTATCATGATGCTGCTTATTGGTCCAGTTGTGAGGATTTTTGTTTTCTTTATGTTGAGGTATAATCCATACTGAAGGCTGTAGTCTTTGATCTTCATCAGTAAGTGCTTCAAGTCCTCTTCAATTTCAGCAAGCAAGGTTGTGTCATCTGCATATCACAGCGTTGTTATTGAGTCTTCTACCAATATCAATCCCACGTTTTTCGTATATAGTCCAGTTTCTTGGATTATTTGCACATTTATAGAAATGGAATAGCAAAAATACATATATTTCTATTATATAACAAATATGCATTTATCACATTATGTTTTCTATATTATTATAAATAGATTTTTGTCATCTATGATTATTATAAGGGAGCTCTGGTAGCATAGTGCCTAAGGCACTTGACTGCTAACCGGAAGGCTGGAGGTTCAAACCCACCAGCCACTCCTCGGAAGAAAGGTTGGGCAATCTACTTCCATAGTTATACTGCCTCGGAAACCCAAGGACAGGTCGCTATGAGTCAGGGCCGACTCGACAGCACATAACAACAACAACATGATTATTATGATAATAAATATACATTAAATATGTTATACTAAGGAGCCCTAGTGGTGCAATGATTAGGTGTTTGGCTGCTAACTAAAAGGTTGGTGGTTCAAACCCACCTAGCAACCCTGCAGGAGAAGAACTGGAGATCATCTCCCATAAAGATCACAGTCAGGAATACCCTTTGGAGCAGTTCTACTCTTGTCTTACTGGATTGCTGTGAGTCACAATAGACTTGAAGGCACCTAACAACAACAACAACATGAGTATATTTATTTAAATAAAATAATATAAACACCATCAGCGTATCATTGGTTTATTTTTGCAGTTACATTCTATTTATGCCAATTGTTACTGATTTTTCCATTTAAAGAGGTATAATAATAATAACTATAATATAATAACCACCACAAAATATCAGTGATGGCTATTGTTAACAAGCACCTACTAAGTGCTAGTCCTGTGCAGAGCACCTTGTAAGCATTATCTCATGCAACATCACTCAACTCTCTAAGGTAGGTATGATTATAATGTCCAGTTTAACAGATGAAGAAACTGAGGCACAGAAAGTTAAGTAACTTACCAGATCACACAACCAGTAAGTGGCAGAGGCAGAATTTGAACCCAGGAAGTCTGGCTCCATTCTCTTAATCCTATGGCCATATAGAGACTCCATTTATAATACAGCTATGTATATGATGCCATTACTGAGGTAGGGATAAGTGGGGAGGAGGAGGTTTGGGAAGATGCAGAGTGGGATTTGACGTGTTGAGCAACAGCTTGGGGGAGACACCCAGGAGGGAGCTGGATAGATGAGTCTGCAACTCTGGACTTGTGTCAGTTAGTTATGACTGTGTAACAAACCACCCCAAAACTCACTGGTATAAAGCAACAGCCCCTTGTTGGATCAGTCACACGTCTGCATGTCAATTGGGGATTGTTTTTCTAGGCCAGACTTCACTGGTGGCTCAGCTTCAAACTGTAGATCTGCAGGTTGGCCAGGTGGTGAAATTTGGGGATACCAACCTCCCTTTCCCTCTGACCCTGACCTGAATGCCTCTCCCCATTCCTGCACTCTGCCTGGGACCAGCAGGTGACATTTGAGCAAAGACCTGAAGGAAGTGAGGGAATGAGGATGCCTGTAAGAAGCGTATTCCAGAAAGAGGGAATAGCTAGTGCAAAGGCCCTGAGGTGGGATTATGCCCACTGTATTCAGGCAACAGTAGAGAAGGCCAATGTAGCTGGAAGGGGGTGAGCAAGGGGGAGAGATAAGAGCAGAGGTCAGAGTTAGCAGGGTCCTTAGCTCTTCAATGGAAGTGGACACTACCTGTATTGTTGTTGTTACTATTACTTTTCATCCTCTTTTCCTGTCCCCCACAGAACCCCCCATCCCTGGACACAGCCATCCAGCACGCCCTGGCAGGTCTGTACCCCCCGTTTGAGGCTACAGCACCTACAGTCCTGGGTCAGGTGTTCCGTCTCCTGGACTCTGACTTCCAAGGGGATGGGCTGAACTTCCTCCTGGATTTCCTGATTCCTGCCAAGCGCCTGTGTGAGCAAGTGCGTGAAGCAGCCTGTGTAAGTTAGAGAATGATGCAAGGCCCAGGGACGAGCTCTCCCAGAGCACCGTGGGGCTGGTGGTGAGCGGAGAAGGAAGGGGCTGGCGTGTGTCTTGCCTCAGAGAAAGAACTGAAAAGAATTGGGATCATTGTCCTAGTTTCATTGTTTGCTTTGAGGCAGACCTCAGCCCCCAAGTGGAGCAGGAGGGTCACCTGGGCCTGTAATCTCTGACATCTGAGAGTCAATCAGTGTGTACTATGACTGGCAGGGAGAAAGTCCTGGATAAAAGGGGCATCCTTGGGGATTTCGAACCTATCCCGGGGCTAGCATTGAGGGCATTACCAGGCAGCCTTGGCTGAGGTAGGGCAGCTCCAAAGGAACTAGCTTGAGAATGTTCGGAGCTGCCCTGGAGCCCCTAAGGCGCCAGGTCTCTCCCTGTCTTCCCCTTCAAACACAGATCTTGGGGAGGCCTCTCCCTGAGGCAACGCAGAAGGAAAAGTGTTTAAGCAGCACTGCAAATGACAGAATCCTTACTCAGACCAGGCCAGTGAGCGTTAGGCCTCTTGCACCAGTTGACCCAGAAACCAAACCTCTTGAGAACTCTGTCTCTTGTCTGGTTCTCTCTGCTTCCAGCATCATTCTTATGTACTAGGTGTTCCCACAAGGCTGGAACCAAGGCCCACTCTGGGATTATCTCTGGACTACCCCTAGAGAGTAAAATGAACTCTTCCTCATCTTACTTACAGATAGAAAAATCTCCAGGAAGTTCCCTGATTGGCCAGGTTGAGTCACATGCCCATCCCTGGATCAATCGCTATGGTTAGAGGAACGGGGTACCATGATTGGCCAGGCTTGGGTCATGTGTTCACTGCTATGGTCAGAGGGTGGAGGCCACAAAGAGGTTCTTAGGCCCCACCACTCTTTCCTGAGTTGCTCACTGCCTGTCGGAGTCATGGCACATCAGGAGCAAAAGGTGAGGGTGGGGACCATGTGTGTCACTTGCACAGTAGAAAAAAAATGAATGTGGTGGCTGAAAGTTCAGGCTTAGAAGACAACCTAGAGATGGTTGCAACCAGAAGGAAACCAGAGGTTCATTTAACATGCTTAGTACAGTGCCTGGCACATAGAAATAGCTCACAACACAGTAATTGTTAATGCGAGAGAACGAAGTTTCCCATTAAAGCATTTGTGGCCACCTTCTACATTTCGTGCAGCTCCTCCCCCATCCTCATTTCTTCTCCTTGGCTAACTATACAAGGAGCCCTGGTGGCACAGTGCATAAAGCAAGGGACTGCTAACCAAAAGGTTGGTGATTCAAACCCACCAGCCACTCCATGGAAGAACGATGGGGCAATCTACTTCCATGAAGATTTACTGCCTCAGAAACCCAATGGAAGCTGCTATGAGTCAGAATTAACTTGATGGCAGTGGCTGGTTAACTATATAACCACTCACTTCCTTTATTTGACCATTAAAACCACATCCATACTGTCTCCTTCCTCATTTCTCCCAGAGACAATGTTCACAACTCATACACTTCTTCATTTTTCTCCTTGTACTTATAAGTGAGTCTGTGTCACCTTCAAGCAGGGAGGAGTGCAGTGGGGATTAGCAGTATGGCCCTGGGTCAAATCTGGGCTCTGTCACTTTGTATTTGGGGAAGCCATGCCACCCCTCTGAGCTTTAGTTTCCTTGTGTGTAAAATGAAATTGTAATAGCATATTATTTGCCTTACAGCAATGATATACATCTATTCCTCACTTCTTGACTGTCTCGTTAATGATATTTTACATTTATGACAATAGTAAAAAAAAAATCCACTGATCTGACTAATTTGCACATTAACGACTTACATCTGGCAGTAATGAACGCCAAGGTGTGAGGTGAGAGTAATCCTGGTTGTAATGGTTAAGGTTATATGTCAACTTGGCTGGACAATGGCTCTCAGTGGCTTGGCAGTTATGTAATGATAAAATTGAGTAGTTATCTAACGATGTAATCATCTTCCATTTTATGATCTTTTGTGGTCATCCTCCAGTTTTGCATATTGACTTGGTTTTTGGAACCTAACCACATTGATAAGTGAAGAATGTGTATATAACTTAGCACAGAGCCTGGTACGCAGTAAGTGTTCAGTAACTGCAGGCTATTATTATCCCATTTCCTCCTGTATCCCTCTGAAATAAGGACATGCCAGCTTCAGTCTGTCTTTCTAACCACCAGCACCCAGAGACAGCCACTCTCAAATGAAGTCTAGTGGAACTTGGAATAGACTTTTAGACTCCAAATATGGAGGCCTGAAAACTAATCCTGCTTTGCCACTTAGCAGCTGTGTGACTACGTGCCAACTGTTTCACCTCTCTGAGTCTCAGTCTCCCACCTGTAAAGTGAGGATTATAATGCCCAAGCTCCACACAGAGTTGCTGTAAGAGTCAAATAAGATGATTCTAACTGCCGTCTCTCTGGTGCTCAGCTGTTTGCAAAATACTGTTGGGCTGTTATGTCATGTTCTGTGAAATGGTGAAAGAAAGCAGTTGGGAAGCTTTGAGGGTTAAATGAAGGGGTGAGATAACTCACAAACCCCTGAGCATTTATAGACAGGAAGATTCTCGGAAGCAGTCAAGTTTACAGTGTAACAAGGAGCTCTGGTGATATTGTGGTTAAGGCATTTGGTTGCTGATAAAAAGATCAGTGGTTTGAACCCACAAGACACTCCATGGCAGAAAGATGAGGAAGTCTGCTTCCATAAAGATTTTACAGCCTTGGAAACCCATGGGGCTCACTGTGAGTTGGAGTTGACTCTAGGGCAATGAGTTTGGTTTTGGTTTTGGAATTTATCAGAATAGGTTTCAATTTGGTAAGGTCTCTATTATTTCTGCAATTAATCATTCCAGGAAACATCTGTTTTATTAGCAGGAAGTTCAGTGTCACTCTCTGAAGACCTGCCACACACACATGCAAATTATACAAGATTGTTTGGGCATTTTCAAGCCACAGAAGTCAGACTTATGTTTTCAAAGCCAGGTACCATTGGAGTTGTTGTTTCTGTTGTTGCCACATGGTGTCACTGTAGAACACTGGTCCTGCACACCCTTTGGAAAGACTCGCTAACAGGGATCATTCCCGTCAAGGTCTACTCGATGATGACTTGCTGTGTCCACCTATGCAGAGAATTGCTGACAGCTTCTCTTGTTTTGAATGAATAAGTAAATAAGGTCTGCCTCACCTGCCATGTTGTTACCCATCAATGAGTAATAGATAGATAAATATTCGGGCTCAGAATAATGGAAACTTTCTCAAGATTCTCCAGAAAGTTAGTGGCAGAGCCAGGTTTCCTGGTTTCTCATTCAGTATTGTTTCTTCTTCTTCTTCTTCTTCTTTTTTTTTTTTTTACCCTTACCATATTTACAAAATCTTTATTTTAGTTATTTATTTATATTGTGATTTGGGTGAAAGTTTACAGAGCAAATTCACTTTCCATACAGCAGCTCACATATACTTTGTCTCATGACATTGACTGCAATTTCCCACAATGTAACAGCTCCCCTCACACTTCTCCCCCATAGTTACCTCTTCCTTGTGTCCTTCCCTCCCATGCACTCCTGACCCCTGAGCTGTCTCTCTGTGCATACACAGTCCTTTCTGTTATCCCATGATTGATGTCTCCAAGGAGTGTATCTACCTGATGTAAATGTTCAGCTCATATGCCTGTCTTTTGTTTGGCTGGCAGCTACAGGAGTGGGTTCAATTCCAGACCTGAAGGGCAGCTAGGGGCCATAGTCTCATTGGTTCCATCAAGCTCTATCAGACCAGCAATCCTGGTCCCCCCTTTTTTTTTTTTAAACAATTTTGAGTTTTGGTCCACATTGTTCTCCCTCCCTATCTAGGATGTCCTACATAGATCCCCCTCCAAGTGGTTGACAGTGGTAGCTGAGCACCATCTAGTTCTTCTGGTCTCATAGTTGTATAGGCTGAGGATCGCATGGTGTACCAGTCACTTGGGCTAATCGTTCCCATGCATCTTTGATTTTCTTCATTCTTCTTTGTTCTGGATGAAGAGAGACGCATCGTTGCATCTAGATGGCAGCTTGCAACCTTCTAAGATCCCACTTGCTACTCACCAAAGTAGGATGTGGAGCAATGTTTTGTGTAGTATTTTATGCCAATTGAGCTTGATGTCCCCTGTGACTATGGTCCCAAGCCCACAGGTCCAACTACTTGCTCCCTCTGGGTAGCTGGCTGTGGCCAAGAAGTGACTACAACATTGTCCCTTGTCAGCTCTACTATACACCTGGGAATTCTTACAGAACATACAAATACACTTGTAGAAACATTGTCTGCCAACCCTATACATTGTCTTGGGCACACTCCCCCCTGCATAGACATACCTAATACTTCAGCATGTCCACCCATCTATCCACCCGTATACCCATGTTTGCCCTCACTGACAAGCAGTACTGTATGTGCAAAAGGATTCATCTTTGTTGTCTGTACCTCCCATGTACTCTATGTCTTCCTCTTCCTCAGTGCCACCGTGTTGATCACTCACATTTGGTACACTGCCCTTCAATACTTGTCTCTACCTATCTAACAGTGTTCCCTCTTCTCCCGTCCCTCCCCTGGTAACCAAAAAAGAAAATTTCCTACCATATATAAACCTTCCCTTGACATTTTACAATAATGGACTAATACAATATTGTCCTTCTGTGATCGACTTATTTCACTCAGCATAATGTCCTCCAAGTTCATCCATGTTATGTGGTGTTTTGCAGATGCTACATTATTCTTTAGGGTTGCATAGTATTCCATCATGTTTATGTACCATAGTTTGGTTCTCCATTCTTCTGTTGATGGATATATAGGTTGTTTCTATCTTTTGGCTATTGTAAACAGTGCTGCAATGAAAATGGGTATACATATATCTATTCTTGTCCTGGCTCTCACTTCTTTAAGATATATACCTAGTAATGGAATGGCTGGGTCAAATGGTATTCCTAATTCCAACTTTTTAAGAAATTGCCATACTGCTTTCCACAGTGGTTTTATCATTTTAAAGTCCCACCAGCAGTATATGGGAGTCTCAATCTCTCCACATCCTGGCCAGCATTTGTTTTTTCTGTCTTGTTTATCTTTGCTACTAGTGCTCGGGCAAGGTGGTATCTCATTGTTGTTTGGATTTGCATCTCTCTAATGGCACAGCACATAACATAACAACAACAACAACAACAATGGCTAATGGTAGTGTAGTGCCTAAGGCACTTGACTGTTAACCAGAAGGCTGGCAGTTCAAACCCACCAGCCACTCCCCAGAAGGAAGGCTGAGTAATCTACTTCTGTAGAGATACCACCTCGGAAACCCAAAGAGGGGTCACTATGACTTGATGGCACATAACAATAACAATGGCTAATGATCGTGAGCATTTCTTCATATATTTGTTGGCCACCTGGATATCCTCTTTGGTGAAGTGTCTATTCATGTCTTCTGTTCATTTTTTAATTGGATTCTTTGTCTTTTTGTTGTTCAAGTGTTGGAGTTTTCTATAAATTCTGGAGATAAGTCACTTGTCAGATATGTCATTGCTGTATATTTTTTCCCAATCTGTATGTTCTCTTTTGACTCTTTTGGAGAAGTCTTTGGAAGCACTTAAAAATTTAATTTTGAGAAGGCCTCATTCCTCTAGTTTCTCTTCTGCTGTTTGTGCATTTTGGGTTATGCTTGATAGTCTATTTATGCCATATATTGTTGTTGTTGTTGTTGTTGTTGTTATGTGCCGTCGAGTTGGCCCCGACTCATAGCGACCCCTCCTTGGGTTTCCGAGGCAGTATCACTACGGAAGTAGGATTGCCCAACCTTCCTTCCCTAAATTTGTCCCTAGTGTTTCCTTGAGGAACTCTATAGTTTTAGGTTTCACATTTAAGTCTTTGATCCATCGGGAGGTAGTTTTTGTGTATGGTGTGAGGTACAGATCTTGTTTCATTCTTCTGCAAATGGATATCCAGTTTTGCCACCACCATTTATTAAACAAACATTCTCTTCCCCATTTAATGGATTTTGGCCCTTTGTCAAAGATCAGCTGACCAAAGGTCAATGGATCTATTTCTGGGTTCTCAATTCTATTCCATTGGTCTATGTGTCTGTCATTATACCAGTACCAGGAAGTTTTGACTACTGTGGCTGTATAGTAGGTTTTGAGATCTGGCAGTATGAGACCTCCTACTTTGTTCTTCTTCAATAGTGCTTTGCTTATCTGAGGTCTCTTTCCTTTCCATATAAAGTTAGTGATTTATTTTTCCATATCCTTAAATAATGTTGATGGGATCTGGATAGGGATTGCCTTGAATGTACAGATTGCTTTGGGTAGAATTGACATTTTCACATGTTCAGTCTTCCTATCCATGAGCATGATATGTTCTTCCATTTATGTAGATCTCTTATATGTGTCTACTTCTTCATTATAACCTCTCTCTTTAATAATTAGAGAATGGTATAAAAGCAGTTAAATGACTTTTTTAAAACACTGAAATTCTCCACATGTATTCAAAGAGTAAATGTTGTTGAAGAGAAAGGGAATCAAGGTTTATTGAATTCTTACTGAACATCTGCTATATGCCAGGCATTGCATTGGGATTTCACATGCATGTTATCTCATTTAACTGTCATACCAACCCCATAATATTCTAGGGTATTACTCTTATTGATAGAGAGCTCCCCATCTGTTTCCTACTGAAGTTCAAGGCAGGTAAGTAATTTGCACAAATTAGTGATTTGGACCTTTGAATCCATGTCCCTCTGACTCTGAAGTGGGAAGATAGGGCTTGAGCTGGGTTGTGAGAAGTTTGGGATAGATGTGGAAGAGAAGTGAGCAGGAGCCAAGCAAGAAGATCATCATGGAAAAGGTGCTTGCTAACTAGCCAGCTTGCTAATTAGTTATGGACAGGACCAGGGTAAGGCAAGCTAGGCACTTAGGGTGCAAAATATAAAGAGCCCCTCACTCTCAGGTTGTGCAAGTGCAAGGTCAGAGCTTATAGGACTCTGAGAATAGAGGCCTCCTTGAGTGTGACTCTTTTGGCATCTTACTTCCTGTCCTGGTCTAGATTCCATTTGGGAGAGGGGAGGAAGCAGACCGAAGGGTGAGGTCTTTCAGGGACAGATTATCTGATGCCAGTCCCTTCTCTCTGCAGGCCCCCTACTCACACTGCCTCTTCCTGCATGAGGGCTGGCCACTCTGTCTGCGGAATGAAGTCGTGGTCCACCTGGCACCCCTTAATCCCCTCTTATTGCGCCAGGGTGACTTCTACCTCCAAGTTGAGCCCCAGGAGGAGCAGTCTGTCTGCATCATGGTCAAGTGCCTCTCCTTGGACCTCCGCACAGTGGACAAGAAGCCTATCCCTGAGTCATCCTACCCTATACTTTTTACCCAAGAATGGCTGGAGGCCATCAATAATGACTTTGAAGGAAGTCCCCTACACAACTGCCTGGTAGCTTCAGAAAATGGGATTTCCCTCATGCCTTGGACCAAGATAACCAGCCCAGAGTTTGTAGATGACAGACCACAAGAAGCAAATGTCCTCTCCCCAGTCTGGGGATCCCTTCAATTAGAGGCACTTGATTTGGGTGGCCCCCAAAAGCTGCACCAGGCTAGGTCCTCAGGCAGCCAGGAGTTTCTAGCCTGGAGTTTGGCCAAGGGTATGGGCAGGACTAATGGGAACAAGTATCCTGGACTCATCAAGGTAGAGCAAGCCAGGACTGCAGAAGTGGCCTTCAGGTTGGGTGATGTGGCCAGCCAGGACTTAGAGGGAGATTATGTGGCTCTTCTGGACTTTTGCCAAGAGAGCAGTGGAGGGTCTTACAGCAAGTGTTCTTATGGGGCACTGGAGGAGCTATCCCAAACTAAGGAAATCCCTCCCTCTCAAAGGATGCTGCTACCCTCAGGGACCAATGGGGAATCTTCTTTGGAAAAATGGACTTGTGCAAAGTCAGCAAGCTCAAAGGAGGAACGGTGCATTTTGGGCTTGAGGCGAAAGGTCAACCATGAAACACCCATTCATGACTCAGAACACCCACCACAAGAACCCTACCTCAGTGACCTGGAGAACCCACTGGACTGTGCCTCTAGTCTCAAGGCAGGTGTCTCAGAAGAGCTAGCTGCCTCCAAGAGCCAGAGATCTCGAGGAAACCCAGAGCATAGGTCCCAGGTCAGGCCAGGACCAAGACAAGCTTCTTCTCCTTGCCTATCCCCAGCTTCTGTTCCCTCCCCTGAAACAAGGAGGAAGGAGAAGACCACGCAGGGAGATGGAAGACTGCCCAAGCCTATGACCAGCCCTAGCCAAAGCACCTCATCTTCTGGGTCCCCCAGTCCTGGACTCAAGTTCTCATTCTTGAAAGGGCAGAAGTTATCTCCTGCATCCCCTGAGAAAGCCTCGCTCCAGCACGATGGGCCTTGGAAAGTCCTGTGCTCTCTCTACTCTCCCAAATCCATCCAAGCCAAGTCCTTGGGGAAAGGTGAGGCACCCACTCACAAGGCTGGGCAAGGAAACTATGCTGGACGTGAGCTGCTTACAAGGTGGTTGCAACAGGCAGGGACCTACCTAGGCCAGCTCCACTTAGGGGTTTAGTTCATGGAGGGACATGTTAAGGGAATTGAAGTCTTATGGATCTGGAACTGAGCAAGGCTCTGTGATTTTGTCAAGAATGTCTGAGATCACAACCCACCTTTGTCATGCATGGCTGTGTGACCTTGGGGGAGTACCTAACCTCTCTGAGTCCAGGTTTCTCTCTCTGTGAAATAGGGATCTTACCACCCTCACAGTCTTCAATGGTTCAAAGAGATACCAGAAGAAAAGAGCTTAGCACAATGGCTGTACACCCTAGATCAATAGTTGTAAACTATTGTCGTTAGAGGATAAAAGAGAAAACATTTTCCCCTTTGGGAAATCCATCTTTTGCTAACATCCTTTTCTTTGTTGTTGCTTTTCCCCAGCTGGAACAACTCAGACTAAAACATCTGGCCCAGCTGTTGACTCAGGCCCACTGACGGCCACAAAGGCTGGATTCTCAGAAGCTTCTGCAGGCCCACCAGAAAGAGGCCCCACCCTGGACGAGGACTCCCCGTGGCCTGAGCCCAGCATTGGGGCTCTGAGTGTTGAGATCTGCCACTCCAGGATAGCATGCTTGCCAGGTCTTGGGGGGTTATGGGGAAGATGGGGGGAGAGCAGGAGGGCTAAGATGGGGAGAGGGAATCCGGGGGTTCCTGAGCATCCTTAGATGCTGGTGGGTGCAGAGGGGGCAGAGAAAGCCCTGGGGGCCTGGGTTCTGGACCAAGCCTCCTTCAGCCTTGGTTTCCTCACCTGTCCAATGAAGGAGGTGGATTAACTGAAGGCCAGCTCTAGGTATCTATCCATCCATCCAGGGTTCAAGGAAGTAGCCAAGGTGTGTGTCTTGGTCACATTCCCTAGAAGCAGGGTCTGCAACAGGGATGCTTAAGGATGTGATTTCTGCAGAGTATGCTCTTAGGAGAGAGGAGGGAGGGTTGCTGGATGGGGCAGGGAAGGAGGTGAGCAGGGATCTGGTCTCAGCCTGAGGCCATGGGGAGCTCTGGAGTGTGAATTACACCATAAGGCACAGAGGCAGGCTTTTATACCTCTGTCCCTCAGCCATTAACTGAGAGCTGATCCTGCAGTTCCCTGCCTTCTCCAGTTTGTAGTAGCCCTTTGCAGGGCTATTCATAAAGTTTTTCAGTAATACATGAGACAGTGATTCACTCCTATTCATAACGTTTTCACTGGCCAATTCTTTGAGAAGTGGATGGCCCCTTCCTTCTTCTGAATCTGTCGTAGTCTGGAAGGGTCACTGAAACCTGGTATTTGAAATACTGGTGGCATAGCTTCCAGCTTTACAGCAACACACAGCCACCGCAGCACAACAAACTGACAGACATGTGGTGGGGCAGCTTGAGAAAACAAAGTCAATTAGAATAAAATGTGCAAAGACCTGGAGTTAGAAAGCCAAAAGGGAAGGACACGCGCCGCATTTCACAAACTGAAAGAACTGAAGAAAAATTAAAGCTTCAAGTTGCAATATTGTAAGATTCTATGGGCAAAATGATGCAAGAAACATCAAAAGAAGATGGAAGGGAGTACACAGAGTCACTGTACCAAAAAGAATTGGTCGATGTTCATCCATTTCAGGACGTGGCAAATGATCAAGAGTGAGTGGTATTGAAGGAAGAAGTCACAGCTGCACTGAAAGAATTGGCAAAAACAATCTCCAGGAATTGACAGAATACCCACTGAGATGTTTCAACAAACGGATGCCGCACTGGAGGCACCCATTCAGCTATGCCAAGAAATTTGGAAGACAGCTACCTGGCCAACTGACTGAAAGAGATCCATATTTGTACCCATTCCACAGAAAGGTGATCCACTGATTGTGGAAATTATCAACCAGCATCGTTAATATCACATGTAAGTAAAATTTTGCTGAAGATAATTTATAAATGGTTGTAGCAATATATTGACAGGGAACTTCCAGAAATGCAAACTAGATTCAGAAGAGGATGTGGGATGAAGGATATCATTGTTGATGTCAGATGGATCTTACCTGAAAGCAAAGAATACCAGAAAGATATTTACCTGTGTTTTATTGACTATGCAAAGGCATTTGACTGTGTGGATCATAACAAATTATGGGTAACATTGAGAAGAATGGGAATTCCAGAACACTTAACTGCTCATGAGGAACCTATACATAGACCAGGAGGCTGTCGTTTGAACAGAACAAGGGGATACTGCATGGTTTAAAATCAGGAAAGGTGTGCATCAAGGTTGTACCCTTTCCCCATATTTATTCAATCTGTATACTGAGCAAATATTCTGAGAAATCAGACTATATGAAGAAGAACGTGGCATCAGGATTGGAGGAAGACTCATTAACAACCTGCAACAAGCAGATGGCACAACCTTGCTTGCTGAAAGTGAAGATGACTTGAAACACTTACTGATGAAGACTACAGTCTTCAGTATGGATTATACCTCAACATAGAGAAAATGAAAATCCTCACAACTGGACCAATTAGCAGCATCACAATAAATGGAGAAAAGATTGAAGTTCTCAAGGATTTCATATTACTTGGATCCACAATCAACATCCATGGAAGCAGCAGTCAAGAAATCAGACGTCACATTGCACTGAGCAAATCTGCTGCCAAAGAACTCTTTAAAGTGTTGAAAGCCAAAGATGTCACTTTGAAGACTCAGGTGTGCCTAATCCGAGCCATTGTATTTTCAATTGCCTCCTATGCATGTGAAAGCTGGACGATGAATAAGGAAGATTGAAGAAGTGTTGATGCTTCTGAGTTGTGTTGACGAAGAATACTCTGAGTACCATGGCCTGCCAGAGGAAGGAGCAAATCTGCCCTGGAGGAAGTGCAGCCAGAATGCTCCTTGGAAGCGAGAATGGCCAGACTTCATCTCACCTGCTTTGGCCATGTTGTCAGAAGGGACCATTATTCCCTGGAGAAGGATGTCATGCTTGGTAAGTGGAGAGTCAGTGAAGAAGGGGAAGACCCTCAACCTCAACGAGATGGGTGATGCAGGCGTCGCAATGATAGACTCAAGTATAGCCAAGATTTTGAGGGTGGCTCAGGACCGGGCAGTGTTTCTTTCTGTTGTGATAGCGTCACCGACTTGACGGTGCCAACAACAGTGGCCACCTGCATCCATGGCTTGTGGGCTCTTTCTCCATCTTCAGGGTTACCTCTCTCTGATCTTCCATCTTGACATCTTTCTCTGACATGCCAAAGCCTGGAAATGTTCTCTGTTCAGGGGGTCACTGAGAGTCAGAAGCCACTTGATTAGATGGCAACTGGGTTTTTTTTTGGTTGTTTATTAAGGATTAATGTGATCAGATTGAGCCCACCTGGGTAATCCAGGAGAATCTCCCCATCTCAAGGTCTGACCCTTAATCATATCTACAAGTTCCCTTGTGCTGTATAAGGTAACATGGTCATGAGTTCTGGGGATTATGGTGTGGACATGTTTGGGGCCATGACTCTGCCAGCCACAGGTATAGAAGCCTTCAGAGAGGGCTTCTGAGACTTCACTGCAAACCCCACACCCAGGAGAGAATGAATCAGGCCCTAAGGGCTGAGACACCTCCCCTCCCGAGGCTCTCAGTTGCTCCATGTCATACTTTTGAAATATTTTTTTTTTACTTTAAGATTTCTATACAAACAAAACAAACAAACAAACGTACTGCCGTGGAGTTGGATCCGACTCATAGCGACCCCTCCTTGGATTTCTGAGGAGTTATCACTACAGACGTAGATTACCCAACCTTCCTTCTGAGGAGTGGCTGGTAGGTTTGAACCGCCAGCCTTCTGGTTAGCAGTCAAGTGCCTTAGACACTACACCACCAGAGCATTTTGTATTTTACTTAGGAATATATTCACACTTGTTTCAATGTGAAAGTTCTTTAATTTCTTTGCCAATTAAGTGACTTGTCATCCCCTCAATGGGAGTGAATCTAATGTCACAGGAAGGGGCAATAAGTTTTTTCTGTGGTTTTGGGTGCCCCCTACTCACCACCTTCCAACTTGCTGTCCCCACTTTCTTCTGAGACTCATAGACCAGTTTGAATAGCACAGCTTCAAGCCAGGGGCCTGAAGTGCTAATGATGGCATTTCTGACACCAGCTATTGGATGACAGTGGCATTTGGGGCAGATGGATGACCCAACTGATGGCAAATCAGGTAGACAGTTGCTGGTCACCCTAGTGGACTCAACCAGCATTCATGTGCCCAGCCAACAGAGCCCAGTGCCAGGCAGAGTTTGATGGTGACTCAGACACGTGCACTGCTTACTCTGTCCAATAGGAATGGTCTGAGATTGAAGTCTGTGTTACTCAAAGTGTGGTCCAGGGACCGACGGCATTGGCATCACCTTGGTGCTTACGAGGACTCCTGAATCAGAGTCTACGCTCTAGCAAGATGCCCAGGCACACTGAGAGTTTGGAGGTACGGCTGTAGCCATCCATCCACTTGTCAATCAGTCGCAGACACTGATTACCTATGCCAGTGCTGAGTGCTGGGCTCAACAATTTGCATGAGTATACACAGTTAGAGCTCTCAGTCTTGCAGGATCTAATGGAGACCTCTGTTTGCCCTGGGAGAGGATCTTCTAAAAAGGGCAGCGAGGATGTCTTCCTGGAGGAGGTGGCAAAAGATGAGGAGACTTTCACTAGATTTAGTAGGAGAGAAGGGATAGCATGAACAAAGGTGGGGTGGTGGGAGAGGGTCAGGCTTGTTTAGACAATGACCGTATGGCTGGGCCATAAGTGTCAAATAGGAAATGAGGATAGAAGAGTATGAAAACCCGAGGGAGACTTCAGTGACAGGTCAAGAAGTTGAGCTTCCTCCTACAGGCCATGGGGAGCCACAGAAGGTTATTGAGCAGGGGAATACCATCACGGGAGCTGTGATTGAGCTACAGTCATCAGGTTTCTTGTGGTTGTTGCTAGGTGCTAATGAGTCAATTTTGACGCATAATGACTCCATGTCCCATAAGGTTTTCTAGGTTGTCATCATTATAGGGGCAGAGCACCACCAGGTCTTTCTCCCATGAAGCTGCTGGGTGAATTTGCTAAACTTTTGGTTAGCAGCTGAGTGCTTAACTACTAGGCCACCATGGGTCCTCTCTCTCTCTCCATACGTAATAGAGAGAGAGACATAAAGGAGCTGTGGTGGTGCAGTGCCTAAGGCATTTGCCTGCTGACCAGAAAGTTGGTCGTTCAAACCCACCAGCCACTTTGCAGAAGGAAGATGGGGCAATCTACTTCCGTAAAGATTTACCACCTTGGAAACCCAGTGGGGGTCACTATGAGTCAAATTTTCAAACATATATGAGAGAAAGAATGTGCCAGGTGGCTTGGCCCCTTGTAAGCCATGCTTGTGATGACTTCTTGGCCTTGTCTAAGGTTTCCTGGGCTGTAAAGGGCCTTGTGCACTTTACAGGGTTATGCCTAGTGGGGGTGGGGTGGTGGTCGTTGCAGGGCAGCCCCGAGGGAGGTGGCTCTGTGGGTGACTCCAAGCCCGGGATGCAGGACAGGTCCATTTCTGGAGGAGGCTTGGGCCTCTTTCCCCTCTGATGATGCCCCCTCCCCACCAAGGCAGCCAGGCTGTGCTGACTCCTTGGGCCTCAGCCCTTTGACCCCCATGGGGAGTGTGGGGCAACTAGCCTAGATTTCTGGGAACAGGAAACAGCCTGTGGAGAATCCACAGCTGAAAGACTAAACAGTGAGCTGCGGAGTAAGTAGTGAGCTGGGTTCATGGGGCCGCATACATCCACGCCCTGGTCTGGGGACAGACATGATGATAACAACTTCAGTTTGTTGAGTCCTTGCTGTATTTTAAGTGTCTCTCAGGAGTTGTCTCATTTAATCCTCGAAGTAACCTAATAAATGCAGGACTTTTATTCACCCCATTAGACAGATGAGGAAAACAAGGCTCATCGATGCACTGACTTGCCCAAGGACACACAGCGAGTCAGTGCAGACCTGGGACTCGAACCCTTGTCTGTGACCCTGAAAATCATTCCATGAGGTCTGCCTCTCAGGGTGCCTAGTACAGAGGGAGTCCAGAGGAAGGTGAGGCTAGCTACCTCTGCATGGAGGAGAGAGAGAGGTTCAGGGAAGACTTCTCTGAGGAAGTGTCTTTGACCTGAGTCTTCAAGGATGAATGAGTTACGAGTTCACAAGAGGAGAGAGACAAAGGGACCAAGATGAGCAAGGACCTGGGACCCACAGAGCAGGTTCACATAAAGAATCCACTAGCATCCCAATTGTGCTGTGTGTCCTCTCTCCTCCAGGTGGTCGGGACAGGGCAGGGCGGCCACTGCTTCTGGTGTCAGCCAAGGAGGGATCTTGGGACGCGCCATGGTGCTCGGTTTCAGAAGTCACCAAGTTGCTCTCCTACCTGTGTACCATCCCCAGGTAAGGGGCTGGGTCACCCTAGCCACTCCATCCCCACCTCACCCTGTTGGCCCAGAGCCCTGGACCAGAAGCCAAGTGGAGAAACACCGGACAGTTCTGTCTCTTCACAGAGCCAACCCCAGGCCAGGTGCCTGAGGACACAGTGGTGAAAAGAGACAGACTCAGTCCCTGGCCTCAGGGAGGCCCAGGGAACAGGACACAAACTGAGAACAAGCATTGTTCTGGTGCACGTTAGTGTGGGAAAGAAAACAGAGGAATGCTGTGAATCCGTGGCTGGGAAACTTGAGCCTCAGAATCACCTGGGGCTGTTGACACTGAGGGCTGTACCCCATCCCCAGGCTCTCTGACGGGTTGGTCTGGGGTGGAGCCCAAGGGCCTGGGAATTTGCACTGGTCACAAGTTTCTGAAGAAACCCTGGTGGCTTTGTGGTTCGCATTCAACTGCTAACTGAAAGGCTGGTGTTTGTTTGACCCGAGAAAGATGTGGCAATCTGCTTCTGAAAAGATTACGCCCCCACCAAGAAAAAAACAAAACTATTGCTGTTGAGTCTATTCTCATAAAGACTTTACAGGACAGAGTAGAGCTGCCCCATAGAATTTCCAAGCCTGTGGCATAGTGCCTAAGGCAACTGACTGCTAACCAGAAGGCTGGTGGTTCAAACCCACTGGCCACTCCTCGGAAGGAAGGTTGGACAATCTACTTCCATAGTAATACTGCCTCCAAGGGGCACAAGGAGGGGTCACTATGAGTTGGATCCAACTCCATGGCAGTGAGTTTGGTTTGGTTTTTGGTTTATATAAAATGGTGTAGTATTTGCATATAACCTACAAATGTCCTCCATATAGTTTAAATCATCTCTAGATGACTTATAATAATATAACAGAAATGCTATGCAAATAGCACTTTACACTCCCTCTTAGCCTTTTTGGGATTGCTTGGACCACTTAATTGCTTCCTCCTCCTATATTTTCCATCTGTGGTTGGTTGGATCCTTGGATGTGGAACCTGCTGATAGGAGGGCCCACATTAGTCTTATCATCCCTATATTACAAATGCAGAAATAGACTCTCAGAGAGATGACATAGTTTGCTCAAATCAACAACAGCAGTAACTAGGCCAATTTGAGATATCTTAAGGTAAGCACTAAAAATGACCCGTGAGCTCAGTGCACTGTGGCTGAGGTGTTTTGGCTGCAGGGAGGGTGTTTTGGTTGTAAGTCACAGAAATTCCAACGCACAATGTCTTAGCTGGTAAGGAAGTTTGCATCCTGTACCTCTGACTTAAAGAGCTCTGGAGATGCAATGGTTAAGTGCTCAGCTGCTAACCAAAAGGTCTGCAGTTCTGTGGGGGAAAAGATCTGAGGGTCTGCATCTGAATAGACTGTTGTCATTGTTGTTGCTGTTGTTGCTGGGTGCTGTGGAGTCTGCTGGACTCCTAGTGACCGTGTGTGCAACAGAATGAAACACTGCCTGGTCCTATGCCAGGCTCACGATCCTTGCTATACCTGAGCCCATCGCCACAACCACTGTGTCAATCCATCTTGTTGAAGGCCTTCTCCTTTCTCATTGACCCTCCTCTTCACAAGCATGATATCCTTCTCCAGGGACAGGTCCCTTCTGACAAAATGACCAAAGTAGGTGAAACGAAGTCTGGCCATTCTTGCTTGCAAGGAGCATTCTGGATGCACTTCCTCCAGGACAGACTTGTTAGTTCTTTTGGCAGTCCATGTACTTTCAATATTCTTCACCAACACCACAACTCAAAAGCATCAACTCTGCTTCAGTCTTCCTTATTCATTGCCCAGCTCTCACATGCATATGAAGCGATTGAAAATAGCAAGGGTTAGGCACACCTTAGTCTTCAAAGAGACATCTTTGCTCTTCAGCACTTGAAAGAGGTCTTTTACAGCAGATTTGCCCAGTGCAATATGTCTTTTGATGTCTTGACTGCTGCTTGCATTGGTGTTGATTGTGGAACCAAGTAATATGAAATCCTTGACAACTTCAATCTTTTCTCCATTTATTGTGATGTTGCTTATTGTACCAGTTGTGAGGATTTTCATTTTCTTTATGTTTAGATGTAATCCATACTGAAGACTGTAGTCTTTAATCTCCATCAGTAAGTGTTTCAAGTCATCTTCACTTTCAGCAAGCAAAGTTGTGTCATCTGCATATCACAGGCTATTAATGAGTCTTCCTCCAATTCTAATGCCATGTTCTTCATCATATAGTCCAGCTTCTCAGATTATTTACTCAGCATACGGATTGAGTAAGTATGGTGAAAGGATACAACCTTGATGCACTCCCTTCCTGATTTTAAACCATGAACTATCCCCTTGTTCTGTTCGAACAACAGCCTCCTGGTCTATGTACAAGTTCCTCATAAGCACAATTCTAAAGTTCCCATTCTTCTCAATGTTGTCCATAATTGGTTATGATCCACAAAGTCAAATGTCTTTGCATAGTCAATAAAACACAAGGAAACATCTTTCTGGTGTTCTTTGCTCTCAGCCAAGATCCATCTGACATCAGCAATGATATCCCTCATTCCACATCCTCTTCTGAATCCAGCTTGCATTTCTGGAAGTTCCCTGTTGATGTCTTGCTGCA